GTGTGTGTGTGTGTGTGTGTGTGTGTGTGTGTGTGTAAACAACAGATTTACCTTGTCCAGTTGGGTGATGCCTTCCTCCACACAGCAGATGGAGGCCACGGTTCTGAGAGCGTGAGCATAGAGGTCTCTGAAGCGGTCCTGTCGGCAGATCTTAAACAGGGCCACCACAGCACCTTCCTGTCGGAGTGGGGAAAAAAATCATTTCGTACATGTGCCACAAAAAACTCAAAAATCTGAAAAGTTTTCATGATCAGTAAAATATTATTCACATTATTATCAGATAACCGCCTTAACTAATTCTTTAATTTCAATAATTTTAGTTTGTCTTGTTAAAAATGAGTAGGGAGGAAGCTCAAACTTTAAAGGTACGTTTTTCACACTGAGTGAAAATGACGGCAGTAGATTAAGCAAACCTCCTTAACTTGAGTCTCTGTGTTTGATTTTCTGGAACTCCACTGAACGACTCAAATCTGCAGCAAAGTGGAAAAATCCAGCCTTATTTTAAGAGGCAAGTGTGTGAGTGTGAGCTGATCCTGTCCTGCTGTTTCACAGTTACACTGAGACTATTAAAAGGTATTAAACTTGAGCTCAGGCGATGTGCTGCACAGTTCTGTATTTATTCTGCTGACATTTCCCACCATCTCAATGGCTTAGGCTTATTGAAAGTTAGATTGATGGTCTTTTAAGGACCCCTTTTATTGTTAAAATATATGTATTTGATACATGTTTGTTATATAGGGAAACTTTAGGGCTAAACAAAATGTTAAAATGTTTTGTATTTGTTGTATCACAACCTGTATATTAATATATTATCCAATCAGATAGACCCTTTAGATTTCCACAGTAGATTCAGACGATGGACTAAATAAAGCAAACAAAAGAGTAAGTGAACATCCCTTGAAGGAATTTATTATGCCTGCTGCCCATTACACCCAAAAAACAGATCGTTGGATTTACTTTATCAAGTTATGTCAATAATTTCTACTCAACTTTGAGTCAGTGAAAATTAACTTTCACATTTAATTTAAAAAATCATGCCAGTTACTTCACATTTATTCAACTCAGTTGGAAATTGTTGACTTGATTAAGTAAATCCGGCATGCCACGGAAATAATGTTTTGTGCAGTTTCATGCAATATCGCAAGATATCATGCTCAGATTATGCATGTGTGTGTAAATACGGGGGAACTGTCAGAAATACTACACAAATTTTCAGGTCAGTGTCTGTAAAACTGATCGAGTTTCATTCAGTCAGTTTTTGAATTTGCTTGGCTCCAAAAATTCAATCAGTTTCAATAAAATCCATCAATTGGTTTATGATATATTTTGCTAACAGATAAACATTATTAACAAGAGTTGATGCTAAAGTTTGATTTTAAAAAAATAACATGCATGACGTGTAGCCTTTGAAGTGTGCGTGTGTCGGCTCAATATTTACAAAACTGATAGAGCTTTAGCTATTGCTGTGTTTCCAAAGGTTAAATAGTTTGCAGGAGTTGCATTAACTGAATATTATTTGATGTTGAAAAACGAGAAGGCCGTCAGTTTAACAGATTGCAGTTAACACTTCTGAACACCTGGTGGCGAGTTAGCATATTATATACCGTATATTCGTTTCCCATCCAAGTCATCTCAACTTTGGCATGCTTCTCCTCCTGCATACTTTGTCCTAGAGCTCCCATTGTAATTTATATCTGTAAAGCTCCTGTGCCAAATGATGGCTTTGCCTTTTGGTGCCTGTAAAACTTATAGTTTATGAAATATTAATGTTTAATGAATTATAATGGCAGTCAATGGAGCCTTGTATTGGTCCAATACTGCCCCATGCTGTACTCAACTTGGTACTGCACCATAGTTTAATATTTCAACTCAGTAGTTCAGTGTTTACAGTTCTAATATGATTGTATTTTGATGTTTTACTATAATATTGTCTTAATACTGCTCTATTTTTGTAATATTATGCAGTTTAGTGTCAATAATAGTATTGTCAAGGTAAACTCTTTCTGCATACATACAATGCAAGCCCTGGGATTGTCCTCTGCTACAGCTCCTGTAGTGTCATGGTGAACACTGAGGGATTTCATTCAGGAGATCAGGGTTCAATCCCAGCTATGAACAAACTGTTTCAGTAAAACTACATAATTCCAGTTTGTTATATTGTCACACAATTACCCTAATTACAAACACCTGCTGACTTGGCTGGTGTTTGACTGATAATAATTAGAAAACACATTTGAACTTGCTCACAGTTCATTCTGCAAGTCCAATGCTGCAGGCAATGACATGCTACATGGCAATGCACACTTGTTTTTACATCGTAAAAACCCATGTCTAGTAATTATCTGTTTTTTCGTGCGTGACCTTGTTGGCTTTACTTGGAAACATGTCACGGCAGCTGAGTGTCTGAAGTTTCTTGAAAAATCCCAACAATGATGATGGTGTTGAGTCAGTGATTTATTTATTTTTTTGTTACTGCAGTGAAGTGTTACATGTCTTCATCTGGTTGATGTGGATGATCTGTTCATCTTGTTCCAACTGAAATTTAATTCAAACGAATGAAATGTTACGGAGTGTTTAATATCGTTTTTAAAAATAAGGTAATGGGTAAATTTAGATTATGACAGGATTAAAAAAAATTTTTTTTACCCTGTTAGTGAAAATGACGAACACACAATGGCGAAAAAGTCTAGAGCAACCTCCACTGTGGCAGCCGTCTTGAACTGGGTTAGCTCCAAAGGTTTTAGTTTGCTAACAAACAAGCTTACACAGACACAAGAAAAATGTTATTGCCTGCTTTTCTATCACAACTGCATGTTTTCACAAAAAAAGGACGTTAATTTGAGAAAAGTTTGACTGGCAGGTTTATAAGAAAAGTCATGTGAAACATTTTGCAAAACCCGACTTATTTGACCTAAGTTATTCACCGTTCGTCATAGTCTGTTTTTGTTGAGTGAGGAACGCTGTACGGACCACGCTGCCCTTTCAGAGCCAGCAGGTTTAAGCCAACAAAAGCAGGCTGCTTTTAAAGAGCCTAAAAGACCTGAGCTGGTCGATGCCTTCAGCCAGCTTTACTCAACGAGTCAGCTAACCACAGAACCTATCGAACCGCTCCCTCAATTTATGATGTCAGGTAAAAAGCCTACAAAATATACATACTTCATGAACAGAAAACACTGAGCAGAAAGAATAGAGATGATTTGTGGGCTGTAATAGCTGAACATTTTCAGTTAGATTATGTTTGGTGTAAACAAACAAAAATAGCAGCTAAGCTGGATATATGACAAAATAAAAAAAAACACTTGAGATTGTCGTTGGATTGTATCCACCGTGCACACAGCTAAAATTACCTGGAGCAAGATGAAGTCTGTAACTACCACCATTATCCTAATAAGGCCATTATTCTGGACTGGCATGTCTCATATTCTGCTAAGGCCCTGCTGCTGAGGCTTGGAGTGGTTAATCATCCTGCCCTACAGTCTGACCACTCTTCCCTGTTCCCTGCCAACGCAATACTGCCAATACTGCTCCACAATACCTGGAAGACTTTTGCGCCGCCGTCTGTTTTCGGGAATCATCACAAGTTTTAATTCAGGCAACCCAGGCAGTGACAAGAAGTCGTTTTGTTCCTGTTGCTTAACCGTGACGAAACGTGTTATTTAAAGTAATCTCGTGTTTAATATGAAGTCACTTTGACACGCGTGGCTGTGTGTAAAACAATCAATACAATGGCTGCACCACCCGATGACAGAATGAGGGGGAGGCGTCACTCTTTCACAGGTTGTTAGCTTTTCTCAGTTGTTTCCCTCAAGTCTTAGTTGAACAATTGCTTCCACCGATTTCATCCCTCCTTAAACAAGAACCTTTAGATGACTGTGATGCTGTTTCCCTGTTATTAATGTGTTTGCATCTACAGGCTCACCTGGCGTGTAATTCCTTTCCATGTCACGGTTTTCTGAATCATTCTCTCTGCTCTGGTGCTCAGAGCAAACGAGGCAGTTTACAGTAATATTTACAAAGACATTCTCAGGAAAAAAAAAAAGATTTTCCTGCATGGGACCTCATTTCATTCAACTAATGGTTTGTTGGAAACAGAGTTCAAAAGGTAGACCACTTCATGTTTTCCACATGTAGAATAATGACTAATGACTTGAATGTCTTCACTGCATTTTCTTAGTTTTCTCCGCGCACACAATTTGTTCTCCCAGATTCCAATGTTTACAACTTTCTGATACGGACACATTAAGTTTGCCTTTTTATTATCCTTACTATTGGAAAGCTGAGATACAAACTTCACGCTTTCAATCATTCCAGCAGTGGGCAGTTCAGTATTATTTTCCTTGCACTGCTCACATTTGCATGTGGTTCTTGTGATGTCCTTTTGTATTTTTGCTTCTTCTGGTTTATCTCAGATTCCAAGTGTTGTGATTAGGTGGACAAAGGGATCAATCTGTAATGACACTGAGCTGACACATTGGTCAGAAGCTGTGGCTACAATGTAACTTAGCCTCATCAATGTGTGAATGACTGTAGTGTGAAACGCTTTGGAAACCTTGGACCTCTCACCTATAAGGCTTTACATGGTCTAGCACCTCTCTACCTTTAAGACCTTCTCCACCCTTATATTCTATCTCGTGCTCTACGATCTCAGGGCACTGGTCTGTTGGTAATCCCTAAAGTCAAACGAAAAACTATTGATGGTCTCGCTTTTTTCTTTCATGCCCCCTTATTGTGGAATGATCTCCCTCAAGACATCAGGCTGACCAGCTCCGTGGACGTTTTTTAAAGCTAAGCTAAAGACCCACCTGTACACTTTGTCTTATGTGTCTTAAATTTGACATTTGTATTTCATGCTTTTTCAATGTTTTACTTGTTCTTACAACTTTTTTATGTTTATCTTATCTTTTTCAGCACAATGTCTGGAAGCACTTTATAAATAAAATTATTATTATTRTTAATATTTTTTATTATTATTTTTATTATTATTATAAAGCTCCGTATAAGTGCAGACCATTTAACTTTTACATGAGATACTGTGGGTTAATTTTTGGATATCGTTAATCTGCTGCAATGATCCACCCAGTCATCCTTCTTTCAAGCAGCCCTCTCCAGATCCTCCCAGAAAAGGAAAAACTGTTCCTAGGCCAGGGAGGATGTACTGTATATAATCCTTCCAGTAAATTTTGGGTCAGCCCTGGGATGTGCCATGAAAACCTCCAAAGGGAGGCGAGGCCTACTAATCAGATGGACACCACCTCAACGACTCATCTTTGCGATGCAGTGGAGCAGCTGTCATAATTATTGATAGTTTCTGGGTTTATTTTGTACTGTGTTGTTTTATGTTTTGTCCTGACTTTCTTTTGTCGTCTGTCCGTTTTCTTCCTCTTATCCGGGGTCGGGTCACGGGGGCAGCATCCTAAGCAGAGAGATCCAGACTTCCCTCTCCCCAGCCACTTGGACCAGCTCGTCCGGGGGAATCCCAAGGTGTTCCCAGGCCAGCTGAGAAACATAGTCCCTCCAGCGTGTCCTGGGTCTTCTTCTGGACCTCCTCCCAGACTTTCTTTTGATTTTATTTTTTAGATCCCTTGTTTTTTTGCTATTTTCCAGTGTCTCCTTATGTTTCCAGTCATTCTTGTTGCATTTCCTCTGTCGGCCCTGCTTCTCAGTCCTACTCCTCATCTCACACCTGTTGTTAGACTCAGCTGTTATTATTTACCTCTCTACTTCCTCACTACTTACACTCCATGCTTTTCATTCTATCCTCAGTCTGACATACTGGCATGTACTTTTTTGCATTTCACATGCTCTGTGTATCTTCCTGATGATTTTGGTTTTCTTTGCTGTAGGCTATTTTATTTTTCTTGCTGCTTCTTGCTTTTTTTGGTCTTATCTTTACTAGAAAACACGACAGCAGCAGCTTCACTCCAGGTTTCCCCTGGATGATGGCATTTCTTATTTCTATGACTGAACCCAGCCACCCTACAGAAAAAGCCCAGTTCAGCAGCTTGCATTCAGGATCTTGTACTTTTAGTCGTAAGCCAGATCTCATGAGTGGACCATAAAAGTGCTTCATTTCCACCCTACCATCACTTGTGAACAACATTCCCAGATTCTTAAACTCCTCCTCCTGAAACACATAATTCTGTTTGAACACTAACTATTTATTGAGTAAAGAAGTACTTATGTTAGAATTATTGTTTGCTGCTCCACAAATGTCCATACATTTATTATTTTTCTAGCTGTTGCAATAAACCTCTTATCACCATGGGGTACTCCTAAAAAAGAGTGAAATGAACAGAAAGGATTTGTTGCCATCATATAAGCAGGGACATTTTTATGCTCGTTTTTACCAGGGGCGGAGCCAGGGGGTGGCCACGGCCACCACAGACAAATCTTGGGCCACCCCATTGGCCACCCTGCTGTACACACCCCTTTCACAGTGAAACAACTTCTAGGGGTGTATTAATCCTCCTGAACAGTTGGTGGCAGTGTTTAACAGTTTGAAACATTACCAACCTCTATCACTGAAGAAGAGTAATGACAATGAAGCGATGGTTTTCTTTATATACAGAACATATGACTATGGCTGTGTCCAAAACGACAGGGCGGGTCCTCCGGAGGACCCAGACTACCCGGTTGCGGCGGGCCGGGTCCTTGGTAGACCGGGAAGACCGGAAAAAAAGAGTCTGTGAATTTGGACGGTCTAGCCTCCCCGGCGTACGTCATGTCACCTAGCAACTGTGATGATGCTAAACAAGCAAACTTGAATCAAAATTAGAAAAACATCAACACATTAGCATTATTAATTTCACAAAACTATAAAATTAACTTAAAGGTATCATTTGAAGAACTAATTGACCCGCTGTAGGTTCATGTTTATTTCACGTTTTTTATGATAAAAAATTGTATTTAAAAACATGTCCATACAAATGATAAAAGTATTAGAATTACAACCGCTAATTTTTTTTAATTTTTAAATCACCATATTTTTATTTAAAACGTATTCTTTTCTCTCGCTTCGTCCGCCATTACTAGCTTAAAAAAATCTCCGGTCGGGCCGCAATGCATTATGGGATATGCTGGGCCGGGAAGGATCCATCAGACCTGTCCTTCGATTCGGGCCAAAGAAAGGACGTATTTGTCGGCCGCATCGGAGGAGTCTTCGGTTTTGGACGGCCTTCGTCGCGGCGCTGTGACGTATGCAGCCGACGAATTCGGCCTTCGGAGGACCCGGCCTGCCGTTTTGGACACAGCCTATGTAATCTGACTTATGGTGTCAACTTTATGTCACATTAATCAACCTTATCTCGGGTGTAGCAATGAGTTTAAAACAGGGTGATGGAACTAGATTAATGAAGAATCTGTCTCTGAAATAATTATTAAATCAAGTGTTTATTTATGTATGTAGGTAGGTAAAAGTAAGTTTAACAACATAGTAAAATACACCAGAATGCAGGAAACGGCATCTATTTTGTTCAAAATTTTCTGGGGGAGGACCCCCAGAACCCCCAACAGTGTGTTCCCCCACTTCTAAAATGGTTCTGATGCCCATGTTCATGAGGTACTCACTGCTGTATAAGGACATGAGGAAATGATCAAAACACAAAGATCTGTGGTAACTTTCAAGTAAAAATGATGTAATTTTCCTGGCCACCCCTGTGTGAGTAGTGGGCCCAGTCTGAGCCCCCTGAGAAAATTGTCTGGCTCCGCCACTGGTTTTTACTCAGGTAACTTGATTTTTTTCTTGGGCAGCTGGCACTTCCTACACTGCCTGGTGTCTATTAAGAAAGCGGCATTGTTAAACTTCGGCTACTTGACACGTTGCATCACATCCCTCACCAAGCGCTGCTTGTCAGCAGTAACACTGGTTGAAATATGAAAAACGTAAAACTATTAAATCCTCTACTGAGAGTTCAAACATCTACTTGCAATAGTTTAGAACAAGGGGAGTGAGTGAAGTCAGAAAGCCGTAAAAAATGAAAGGCAAAAAGAACTTAGACACACCCGAGACGATACGCTCTGCTGTGAAGGATTTTTGAGACTGTGACAGAGGCAGCTGGAAGCAGACTAACTCACATGGCAGGTGGACATGTTTTGTGTTGGGTATTCATTAGCAGCAGGTTTTTTTCCCCGGTGGTTCGGACAGCAGCTCTGTACGAGGAGTTAAGTACGAGTTGACGTAGAGGTAAAGGTACATGAGAGATGGGCATTTGTGATCAATGTCTACGCCTAATAGGAGCTGACAGTATTGATCTCGCAATCTGGCTGCAAAGGGGACATGCTTACTTACGTGTGTGTAGGCCATCAGGATGAGTCTTATCAGGAAAATCGTAGAAGCGGTTCGCTAACTAATGGCCATCTGAGACTTGCTGTCTGGTCTGTCTCATCTTATCTCACAGTGGAATGGATTTGAGCAGCGTTGTACACACTGTTAACTGCTACATAGCGGTTTGAGGATCTGAATGTTGACCACTTGTAGAAGGTTGTCAGAGTGAACGTTCACTAATTGTGCTAAAAACCTTTGAAGAGTTGGGTGTAGCGCCTCTCAGGGGTTTATGTTTGGTACCTTGGCAATGATGCTGCAGAGCTGAGGTCCATCCTGGGTCAGGGACAGCAGGTTGCTAATGGCACTGCCTATGGTATGAACACTGTCGGATGACTCAATCTGTTTGATCAGGACCTACAAGAAAGATGACACCATTAATAATGTCTTTGTTGACGTACAAACCCAGCCAACGGAAATGTTCACTATGCTGAACACATTTTAAAATAAATTGAGAGCAAAAGATAACGTAACACTGGTCTAAAAATGATTTGTGGAGAAAAACTAAGTTTTTTTTATAGCAGCCTGTGGATCTTATTACTGACAAGGATGCACAACAGGGGTGCCACCAGGGGGCAGATATTGGCCACCCATAAAATACTGGCAAATGCCAGGTGTAACAAGGCAAGTCAACAAAGAAAGAACAACTATTACAATAAAACAGGAAGTAAATCAATAAAACAGGAAGCTAGGTCACCAATTAAAGGTGAGTTAAATAAATTTTCCAGACTGTAAGTTACACTTTTATTCTTAGTTTGGCAGGTCCTGTGACTTATAGTCTGGAAAATTTGGTAGTATTAATTTCAAGCTGGGTGAAAAGTTTAAGTCAATGATTTAATAAAAATGACAGAAAGTTTTGACTGAGGCATCTCTTAACACTGAGAGAATACCGAAAGCTACATGCTAATACAGAAGATCAGTTAAATTTTATACCCGGATCTCATTGGCCAGCGCCATGTCAATCATGTTGCTGAACGAATCACTGACATCTGTGAGGATTTCATGGATCGCCTCCCTCATGGATTTAAGGAAGAATTCATCATCAGTGTGAAGGCACCTGTAGGTAAGATGGACATTATTATTATTATTATTAATATTTTTTATTATTATTTTTATTATTATTATAAAGCTCCGTATAAGTGCAGACCATTTAACTTTTACATGAGATACTGTGGGTTAATTTTTGGATATCGTTAATCTGCTGCAATGATCCACCCAGTCATCCTTCTTTCAAGCAGCCCTCTCCAGATCCTCCCAGAAAAGGAAAAACTGTTCCTAGGCCAGGGAGGATGTACTGTATATAATCCTTCCAGTAAATTTTGGGTCAGCCCTGGGATGTGCCATGAAAACCTCCAAAGGGAGGCGAGGCCTACTAATCAGATGGACACCACCTCAACGACTCATCTTTGCGATGCAGTGGAGCAGCTGTCATAATTATTGATAGTTTCTGGGTTTATTTTGTACTGTGTTGTTTTATGTTTTGTCCTGACTTTCTTTTGTCGTCTGTCCGTTTTCTTCCTCTTATCCGGGGTCGGGTCACGGGGGCAGCATCCTAAGCAGAGAGATCCAGACTTCCCTCTCCCCAGCCACTTGGACCAGCTCGTCCGGGGGAATCCCAAGGTGTTCCCAGGCCAGCTGAGAAACATAGTCCCTCCAGCGTGTCCTGGGTCTTCTTCTGGACCTCCTCCCAGACTTTCTTTTGATTTTATTTTTTAGATCCCTTGTTTTTTTGCTATTTTCCAGTGTCTCCTTATGTTTCCAGTCATTCTTGTTGCATTTCCTCTGTCGGCCCTGCTTCTCAGTCCTACTCCTCATCTCACACCTGTTGTTAGACTCAGCTGTTATTATTTACCTCTCTACTTCCTCACTACTTACACTCCATGCTTTTCATTCTATCCTCAGTCTGACATACTGGCATGTACTTTTTTGCATTTCACATGCTCTGTGTATCTTCCTGATGATTTTGGTTTTCTTTGCTGTAGGCTATTTTATTTTTCTTGCTGCTTCTTGCTTTTTTTGGTCTTATCTTTACTAGAAAACACGACAGCAGCAGCTTCACTCCAGGTTTCCCCTGGATGATGGCATTTCTTATTTCTATGACTGAACCCAGCCACCCTACAGAAAAAGCCCAGTTCAGCAGCTTGCATTCAGGATCTTGTACTTTTAGTCGTAAGCCAGATCTCATGAGTGGACCATAAAAGTGCTTCATTTCCACCCTACCATCACTTGTGAACAACATTCCCAGATTCTTAAACTCCTCCTCCTGAAACACATAATTCTGTTTGAACACTAACTATTTATTGAGTAAAGAAGTACTTATGTTAGAATTATTGTTTGCTGCTCCACAAATGTCCATACATTTATTATTTTTCTAGCTGTTGCAATAAACCTCTTATCACCATGGGGTACTCCTAAAAAAGAGTGAAATGAACAGAAAGGATTTGTTGCCATCATATAAGCAGGGACATTTTTATGCTCGTTTTTACCAGGGGCGGAGCCAGGGGGTGGCCACGGCCACCACAGACAAATCTTGGGCCACCCCATTGGCCACCCTGCTGTACACACCCCTTTCACAGTGAAACAACTTCTAGGGGTGTATTAATCCTCCTGAACAGTTGGTGGCAGTGTTTAACAGTTTGAAACATTACCAACCTCTATCACTGAAGAAGAGTAATGACAATGAAGCGATGGTTTTCTTTATATACAGAACATATGACTATGGCTGTGTCCAAAACGACAGGGCGGGTCCTCCGGAGGACCCAGACTACCCGGTTGCGGCGGGCCGGGTCCTTGGTAGACCGGGAAGACCGGAAAAAAAGAGTCTGTGAATTTGGACGGTCTAGCCTCCCCGGCGTACGTCATGTCACCTAGCAACTGTGATGATGCTAAACAAGCAAACTTGAATCAAAATTAGAAAAACATCAACACATTAGCATTATTAATTTCACAAAACTATAAAATTAACTTAAAGGTATCATTTGAAGAACTAATTGACCCGCTGTAGGTTCATGTTTATTTCACGTTTTTTATGATAAAAAATTGTATTTAAAAACATGTCCATACAAATGATAAAAGNTTTCATGGATCGCCTCCCTCATGGATTTAAGGAAGAATTCATCATCAGTGTGAAGGCACCTGTAGGTAAGATGGACATTATTATTATTATTATTATTTATCTATGATCAAAATAAAAGGTCATCTAGTTTTTTAGTCACACATTTTTACAGTTCAGGTCAGAAAAAAATGTGTAGCATTAACCAGACGTCCAAACATACACAACTGTCAAACATGCATCTCCATATTTAGTGAAAATTAAACAATTTTCTCTTGACCATTTCACTTAAGAAAATCCCAATTAACCTTTAAGCAGGGTCTTTTTTATCTAAATGTTAAAACAGCAACATTTCTTTTGTTTTGGGGCCCTGGTGGTTTACTTGTTAGCATCAGCATCTTTTTTTTATAAACCATTTTTCACTGAAGAACAAACGTGAACCCATTTACCCATTAATGGAAGGCAGTACATAATTGTATGTGTGCTTGTTTGTCTGTTAGCAAAATATCTCATGAACCACTAGAAGGATTTTATTGAAACTTTCATAGAGTAATAAATGATGTACATCTACAACAAACTACTTTTTGAAGTCCTGCTGATCTGGGATGATGGACACAGTAAAAAAAATAGGAAACACAAAAATGTCTATAATTCAGTCTAATTTACAGATCTTAGGCTGGAAATTGTTGTGAGAGTAGTTGAGAATGATTACCAACACATATCTCCATCCCCAACAGATCACAAGAGCTTTGTTTAAAACTTTGGCAATAACTTTTGTAGTGAGTCTCTTAGCAAAATATCTCATGAACCATTCATCAGTGGATATGCAAAAACAACTGATTATACTTTGAAATCAGTGTAATTCAAGATGGCCGCCACATCAACACTAGCCAACACAAACATTGTTGTGCTGTCAGTTTAACAGCCAAGGTTTGGGAGATTATTTCCAACTCATGTTTTGATTGTTAAAATAGCCACCTGGATTCTGTTTAAAATGTTAACATTCAAGGTAGTGGGTGACATTATTAAAATAAGGCTGTTTATTTTTATTTTTTATATATTTTCTTATACTTTTTTATTCTGTGTTCTATATTGACATGCTTTTTCTCAGTGACTTGTAACTTTTTATTATGTGTGCTTGTAGGACCATGTAATTATTTCTTACTTTTTGGCAATTAGGATCTTAAAGCTGAACTATTTTTCATTCTTATTATTGTTTATATGTCTTTGTGTATTAAATGTGTAGGTTACCTCTCTGTAATATTGGTCAGCTCCAAACACTTTTCTAGCAGGGATTTCTCATACTGCAAGAAAGAAAAAAAAAGAAAAACACTTCATGAATTTATGAAACAAAGACAGACATTTTCATAAAAATACCTTACTATTACAGTTTGCATGCATGTAAATGACAGAATGTGTCTCTGATGGTTAATATCTACAGTAAATTTATCTCTAGCACATTGTTTTTTTAAAAAACATGCCCACGATCAAACATCACCTTCTGCATCTCAGGCGGTGTGCTCCTAGCAGCGCTGTACTCATGAATGAGTGAGCGCACGTGGCAGTTTGCACGTACAGCCGTGCTGTGGACCCTCTGCCAGCGCCCCTTCTCCAGCCGCTGGAACATCTTCCCCAGCTCTGTGCTGACGACCAGCGCACGGCGCAGGAGCGTCTGCAGGTTGTTCCGGGCCACGTGGTCCCCCGCCCCGATCCCAGAGGTCACTATCAGCTCGCCCTGCTGGGTGTCCTCCTCCACCCCGATAGGTTTGGCCTGGAGGACACACATGCACTCCACCTCTGTCATGTGGCGAAGGTCCTCCATCCAGCGCTGGACCGAGTCCACCTGGAGAGACTGCATCTGCATGCGGGCACTGTGGAGGGAAAAGCAAAAACAGACGATGTGAAAATAGAGTCAGAAAAAGTTTTATTTACATTGAAATGTTCTCTGTACTCTTTAGAATAAAGACATGGCTGCTATCATTATACTCCTGCAGCAGTTTGCATTTTTGTCTCACATTTCTGTGGTGTGTTGAATTATGTGGCTGCACGCAAATAACAACACAACTAAATCTGAACTTAAGCAGAGCCAGGTTGTCTCATATTTCTTGGTCAAGTCTGTAAGTAAGTCTGCAGAAACATATATGTCATTTATTTCACACATAAACATCATAAAAGCAAGTTATTTTGCTGTAGCTAACCCAACAATAGCATTACACCATCATGCAACTCTTTGTCAAACTTTGCACTGACATGGAATTTTGGTGTACTTGTGGTACTTTTACACATAAAACGTGTTGTACTGTCTGTTTACAGCACAGTCGTATTAGTGGTGTATTCATTTGTGTTATTGACATTTGTGCATAAAAGAGTCACTATGTTATGTGGTTGCTGCTATGAATTATGGGTGTAACAATACATCAATATATCAGTTAAACGATTAATGATTCATCATTGAAGCAAAAAAAAAACGGCTCCATATCATCATCATCTGCTCGATATGAATTGATATCACATGACCATCTACACTATCATTTATTTTTGATGAGGGTATGATATTACATCATATCGATTGCAGACCTGTGGATTATATTGAACTGAAATCGTATTGTGTCTGACTTTGTGATCTCAAGAAATATTGTATCATTATACATATTGTATTGTGATAAATCTGATGATTTACTCAATACAATGTATATTACTTTGTCCAAGTATACTGTATATGGTATTCTAAGACTGACAACAACAAAAAATATTTTTTCATCAGTTCTGTAGTGTAGTGCTCATCAAGTCTGGGTTCAGTCCCTAGGTGAAGCCATGTGCTGTCATAAAGTAAAGTTTAGTTAAAAGCTAAAACACTGTGAGACAACAAAGTTTATTTGTTTTAGGTCAGGTGTGTCAAATTCAGTTTCATCGAGGGTCACATGAGAATGGATTACCCTCAAAGAGCCAGTTAAAGTTAAAATTTCCTGCTTAACTTTGACTAAACAGAAAACCTCATCTCATTGCTACAACTGAGCACAGCTAACAAACAATAACTGAGCTCTATGTGGTATTTCATGCATTGAAACAGTGTTCTAACACATACTCATGAACACTGAAAAGTACTGCATGTACGACTGACTCAATGTGAAATACATATTACAGAAATACTATTAAAAGTAAAAGTAAGAGAGTTTTACTTAATGTTGAATCGTGATAAGTCTCGAACTCTCCCACTTTCCAACAGGGAATTCTCATGCATAATCCACATGCATTATGGGAGATTTAGTTTATGATCAAAGCTGGCTTTAAAGCAGCTTATTTTGTGACATTAATAGAGATATTCAACTATTTTGCTCATGAGGGGGGTATAGTTATTCAAAGCCAACAGCTCAGGGGTCAGACAATTATTATTATCCTTCACATTGGGTTTATTTTGTTGCGTTGAATCATACATGTTAAAATTGCCATTGATATAAAAACGTTTTTTTCGTATTAAATTAAGTTAAAAAATGGGAGGGTGTGCCAGACAGAAGTCACCCACGGGGCATTGGACTCTACACACGTTAGGCAATTGAGCCGTAATCTAGTCCTCTATTGTTTGCCAATCATTTTAAATGCTTGGTTATTAAAATATCTGTGACACGCATTTCCCGCAAATACAAAAATTGCAAGAAAACATATTTCTGTAGAAGAAATTTGGCATAATGTGCATGATTTTACCCATTTTGTCACATAAAATTTGGTTTTGAAATTCGCACGGCTTGTGCGAGCCGAATTGAGGACAAGAACAAACTCCCTGGTCTTTGTTTATACGAACTCTGAGTCTCTGATAGTGACTCAAAACTGTCAAAAGCCATATCAGATTCTATCTGTTTTGTTCGTCACTGTTGCAATGCTCAGACATTGTTGTCACTTCTGGTTACTCATCAGTGCAGCTTCAACAGTATTCCATTGTAGCGAAGAGGGAGCTTAGCTGTAAGGTAAAGCTCTGTTTACCGGTGAGTCCACATTCCTTCCCTCACTTATGGCCATGAACTTTGGGTAGTGACCGGAAAAACAAGATCGCAGATACAGGCTGTTGAAATGTGTTTTCTCCACAGTGTAGCTGGACTCCTCTGTAGAGACAGAGAGATAAGCTCAGTTATCCAGGAGAGCTGCAGAGAGGAGCACTGCTCCTCCACATCAAGATGAGCCAGTTGAGGTGGTTTGGGCACCTGGTAAGGATGTTCCCTAACTGGTACTTCGGGTTTGTCCAATTGGGAGGAGACCTCATGGAAAGCCACAGGATTTGCCAGAGTGACTACCTTGGCTGGCCTGGAAAAGAATCCTCCCAGCTGGAAGAGGTGAAAGAGAATTTTGGGCCTCCCTGCTTAAACTGCTGTCTCCTTGACCCGACTTTGGAAGAAGCACAGACAGAATTTTATTACTTTCTGAAATACTTCTGTTTTGGCCAATGACAACTTTTTACAAATCTTTGTTCACTGACTGAGTGTTGTCTCATACAAACGGAAGAGTGGCAAGACAGAGCCTGCAGTTCATTTGTACACTCCTCTGACCGAACAAAACTTTAAAGGGTATAACTGCTCCATAAACAAACACTAAAAAAATAAATCAGCACAAGACTCCTGCAGGTTCCATGGTGCAGCAATGACGACATCTGCTTAACATGCAGAAGGCTTTGAGTTCAATCTCCAGTAGAAGTGTGGTTGCTCGACATGTGCTATTGCCCCAACAAAACCACCAGTGGAATGGAGTCTGTTATAGTTTAAACAGCAAAGACTAAAAATAGCTGTAACTCAGTTGCTTTTACAGATATTAAGCTAAAGTTTGGTGTGGTTGTAGCTGAGAGTAAATATACCAACATTCTCATTTCCAAGAGTTTTAGTATTGAATCATTCGTGGTTTTGAAAAGAATGTACCGTGAATAAGGCAAAAATGAAGAAAAAGTACAGGTTCAAATTTTTTAAACGCTTCTTAGAAAAAAGGGGTTGGGAAAGTGCAAACACGTAAGCTGCAAGTAAGTCATCAGTTTATCTAGAATCCTACCAGTATGAGCCCTTAGACAAGCAAATCAATCCTCTTAATTCCATCAAGAGAAAACTATAAACCGCCGCTAAAAACAGCAGCTTTCAAGCTTTAAACACCCAGCATCCCTAAAGTCAATAATGTGTATTCAAGGTCAATTCCATCAATAACAGCTAGCTTTGCGCTTGTTAGCTTAACCCCCTTCATTTCCTCTTTAGGTAGATAACAGCCTTAACATCGCACTGCAGCAGGTAAACACTCCGCCCCACTTCAATCTCTCCTGGCACTGACCCTAATGAATGGAGGCTTTAGGGGGCACTTCCAAATCCTGCACCTAAAGAGCGAAAGCTCCCTGAAAGAGAACGGATCGATGGCTGCTCCGAGTCAACACAAGAGAGGGTCTCTAATGAAGATGGATGTTTTTCCCTGTATGTCCCTGAGTGCTTTCTGTGCAGTCTGTGCAAATGAACAGCTTCAAAAAGACATTTACTACATTTCTGTGTAAAAAAAATGTTGCCTGATCTGGTCTGAAATCCAAAACTAAAGACCAACTATTAGCAATGAACACCTTCAGGACCTTCCAAATCCTTTGAAAGTCTTAAAATGTAATTACATTTATTCTACTGTTCCGTTGAAGAGATTCATCAGAGTTTTTGAAGTGGTGTTTTGTGGAAATCTTATCAGTACTTAACAAAAAAAGGAATTAATATCCTACATGCAGCAGAAAACACTTAGAACGTTCTGCAAAATGGAATATACTGTAGAACTTCTGGCAGATGATAGAGCTGTTCAAGTTTGCCGAATCAAATCCTGGCTCTTGACTTTTCTGAGTTGAGTTTGCATGTTCTCTCCCACAGACCAAAAACATGATTTTTAGGCTAATTGGTTACTCTAAATTGCCCCAAGGTGTGAATTTTTTGTCTCTATGTGTCTCTGTGATGGACTTGCAACCTGTCCAGGGTGTACCCCACCCCTTGCACAGTGACTGATGGACACCAGTGATCCCTGTGAAGCTGAAACAGGTAAAGATAATGAATAGATGGAACTTCTGGGAGTCAAGCTACTGTAACCAGTGTTGTATAAAGTACATCAAAGTGAAACTTCAGTAAAATAAACAAAATGCACTTAAAGGCTGAGTCACAATACAAGATTTTAAACCAGTTAAACCGATTTTCAAAGACTGACAGAGCCCACACACGAGGATAAAAAACCATGGATCTACGAGGTTTGGTCCTACAGTGTGTGGTGTACAGCCACATGGCAAGAGACAACACACCACACATGAAAAGATATGTCATTCATGATTCAGATGTCAGATATTAAATCACGTGAGACTTCCTGAAATCTCGCGAGAATTCAGATGTCCGAGGAAAAATCTCAGGTGACCTCCAGAGAGACGTGAGTTCAGAGTAAATAAACATTTGCAACAAGGAAGAAACAATGTTGATTATTTGTGGACTATTTTTATCAGAGGAAAACAATTCCATAGAACTTTTAACATCCAGCAGACTTTCTGGTGAGTCATGACAGTTATTTGTCTTCTGTATTTTGGAATCCCCTCCGTGTTTACATCACCTCGCTTTCTGATTGGCAACACGTCTCATTCACAGGCTGAGAGCTCAGGTGAACAACACACACACTGTGATATCGGGCCAAAAAATCAAGCCTGTTGAATCTCCCCAATTTGAGGTCGGAGTGGTCCCGATGTCCTTCCGAGCCGACTAGATCACTCTTAACTCACAACCCACGGCAAGATTATCTTCTATGATTATCTTTAGAGCCATCACGATAATCTGGACTTCCTTGAGACTGTCAGAAGGGCAAAAATCGGCCTGATTTGCTTGTAGTGTGACACAGGCCTTAT